TTTCTGATTTTATATCTTCTACTGCTAATTTTAACATAAATTTTATAAATACTACACGAGTTAAATTCGTTCTCCATTTTTATGCTATGCATAAATTCATACATTCAAAAGTTCAAACGCCTATGCCTCGCATTCCTCTCCTCTACAACCTGTCTCTTTTCTGACCACAATCAGAAGTTACAACCTGCTGATCCATCAGACTGTTTAAGCGACTTACCCAAAGATATTCCAATAGGGGCTGAGTTTCCTTGGAGAATAGTACATACTCAATCCCCTATTCGACTTTCTGCAACTCATGTGATAATAACTATACTATGTTTGGATCGATTTTCTCTGACGATCGCTCATTTACTACTATAGCATTTTCTTTCGTTTCTTCAGTTGTCAGCAGATATTTTAGTACCAGTTATAGTATCACATTGATACAGATATTTTATCAGTTCTTGAAGATCACGTCAGAGAATTTTGGGAGTTGGAAACAATAGGATTTAAAGTTTATAATGAAAAGGTCTGGTGTGCACGTAACCTTGACATAGTAAAAGATTTTTAAAATTCCTTCAAGATACTCGATAATCGTCGAGTTGTGAGTCTGCCTTGAAGTTATTTTTTCATCAAATAACTATAATGTCTGGTTTAAACGCTTCATGCTGCTAAGGAAGAAATTGTTGATAACAAAGAATAAGAAAATACTTATATTCGATACATGAAAAAATATATTTATCGTGATCAACTGAAAGTAGCGCCAAACGAATCAAATGATCTTGATCCCCATATTGTTGAAAAAGAGAAAGATAGTGATATTAAATGGCATGTAGTTTTTTAAATATCTTCACACACCTCGAGAAAACCTTTCTAAATCCTATTCTCGAACAATCACCTTATTTATTACCATAAATAATGGCCACTCTATTAGGATTTAGACTGCATTCGATAACTGTTTCAGCCGATGGAAGTCAGACTTTTCCTCGGTTAATATTAACTGAAGCAGATCGGTACGCAACAAGATTTCTTTGTTTTAAAGTATCTTTAATAAAGCACTTCGATAAATCTCTTTCCCCGGACAGTTTGTCTATTAGTGTGGAAATAAACGAAGATACTATTACTCTTCACTAAGAGATGGAATATTTAACGTCCTTGATAACTTTGCTATTAGTAAAATGGGTTACTAATTCATCCACTTCGAAAAGGAAATAGATACAAGAAGACATAGCTTTCGCCAAGGATTGTCAAACTCTAGGCATAAACTGGAACACTGAAGAACATATACTTCGTAAGGAAATCAAAGAAAATTTTGCTGACCTATGCCAAAACAGAGTTACAAAACATCTTCTTAAAATCAATATGAAATATTTATGATTATTTAGGAATGTTAGCTTCAGTAACAGCCATTGGGAAGATTTTATTCCTATACGTATGGCTCACAGGAATATAATGGGGTGAAATTTTACCGTTAGATATCGTTAAACAATGGCACCCATGGTCATAAAAATTACACTGACAGTCTCACGTTCCGAAAATAAACAACGTCATCAATGCTAATCAGTGAATGCTCATGTGATCCTACAATTCTTGATTCTCGACAACCTCCCCGCACTAGTCTATTTCGAAGAGAGTTACCAGTTGTAGCTTAATCGTAGATAATTCCACTGTGTAAGATTAAGTAACAGGTGTTGTAACCGAGGACTCTGAATTCGTCGCCAAATTTTCATTCTTAACAATTATTGCAGAAAAGTTATTCACAGTTGGTGATAATTTACTTAAAACAATAATGCGAGCCTCAAAAATTGAAGTTCAGCAGTATGCGTATGGCTTCCAAATTGAGTAATATCGTCTTTATACCCTTCATAAGAAAATAAACTATGAATGCCGTTATCTGTTAATTTCATTTTGTTTAAAGCAGTTGTTAAGCGATTACAAATATATTCGAAATCTTTAATTGAGAAATCATCTTTTCAAAATATTAAGAGGCATTATTTTGAAAACCAGACAAAAATCAGAAATTTTGATAATTGCATTTTTTGATTACTTTTTTTTTTTAAATTGAAGTAGGCTATGAAAAATGAATATTAGACAAGTTTGAGCTCCTAAAGCAATTTTACCTCTCCTGTAGAAAATGTCAAGTTCATGGTCGCTCAAAGTCATTTCCTTAGAATTGAAATAGTATAAGTATTTTTTAAGGGGTTTATCTGAAGAAAGCAACAACACCCCAAAGTTTTTGTTAACTATATTATTTGTATGTGACTGTCTCGTTTCAATCTAACATCATGCACTCGTTTCAATCTAACATCATTGCTTTTCAGAGTTATACTTTGTCAAATTTACTGAAAAATTCAGTTTTGGCCATTTTTCTGCCACAAAAATCTTGGTAAAAACAACAAAAACCCAATAATTTCTTTACTGAATTTTAAAGTTCACTATCAGGACAAGCTCAATGACGCAACACTTTTTTGAGTTATCGATGTTTTCAGTAGATATAACCATTCAATCTTTTACGGAATGCAAAATCTGCATTTTTTTTATTGACCTTTTCTCAAAACGGCTTGGTCGCTCTAAAAAACTATTTATACCATCTTGTCGGTAAATGTATCTGCGGCCTTGTGGAAAAGAAAAATCAATGGCATCTTATCCCATTTTCGTGAAAAAAAATTATTAAAGTTGTATACATATGCTACGTTAAAAATCCTTCTTCCTGAGATCCCTCCTTGAAATCCTACCTCCTTTTTGAGATAATAAAGATGGATTCCCCCCCCCCCTAAATAAACTAAAATAAATAATTGGAACTGTCTTAGTAATTAAAAGATATACTGATGGAAAGAGAGCGCTGAGGTGTTCGTTTGCTCATGCACTTAACCCCCATGCCGCTGTTTTTGCTGTCAAACATATCTCCAAGATACTATTTGATATTAAGTGGGCAATCCATGGCCTTCGTAAAACTTTTCACCCATTACCTTAAATATTTTAAAACGTTATATATTCTTTTTTGAAAGGCGCAACCTTTATAAACAGTGTGAAATTATATGCACTTCAAGTAAATCTCGAGATTCAAAATTAAATTAAATTATAATTACTTGTGTAAATTATATATTACTAGTATTAATTATTATAGATTTAATAATTTTTTTGATTATCATTGTTTAACAAGTCAAAAGCGTACCTTATTCTTCTTATATAAAAACTACAAAAATATTTTTATTAGAAATGTCGTTATTCTTTTTTAAAATTAAAGTTCTTAGTGTAAAATAGGGATATACCGTAGCAAAATTCTTGGTGAATATTTTTTTCGATTTTTTTCATCGCTGCGACTTCAATATGACACAGTTGAAGAATATCAAACAGAATCTATACATTTTTTACAACAATTATTTTTTATTCTAACTTTATTTAAAAAATTAGTAAACCAAGGGAAAAATACTAACACCTTTTTTAATTTGCAAAGGAACATAAATACATATACATTACAAAATAAAAATAAATAAAAAGTTATTACTACCTCACAGTAAATCCTTCTATTATATCATGCATTCTAATTTTTTACTTGCTATATTTAAGATAAAAAATGCAACAAACAATAAAGAAAAGTATTTTTATTTAATATTATTGAAAATTATTAAAACAAACAAACAATGAAAACGCAATAGTTTCATTTACATACAATTAAAATAACAATAAAATACCGATCATTAGCTCAGTATTTCAGTTTCATTGAATTATTGCTGTTAGATTTAAATTATTGTTATTGATGTTAGATCTAAAATAAGAAAGAAAAATTAAGTTGTCAAAATTTTATTCCATGCAATACTTATCATTGAACTTTTACTCATAAAAATGAATAACTAAAATGTTTACTAATAGATATGTGAAACTTATTCTTTATAACTTTAGAAAGATACAATCCGCAAATAACTTTGTTTGATTTGACTTATTCATACAATTGAGTTTTGCAGAACAAATTATTGAAATCAAGAGAAAAAAAGGGAAGCATGAAGGTTTTTTTAAAGAAGTTCCTGTCAAAGCGACTCCAAACAAGTCGTTTACCCGAAAAGCGCCAACAGCCAAGAAATGATCAGCCAGACTTGAAACGCTGCTGTATGTTCTTTAAAAACTTACTGCAATCGTTAAAAACTAAAATTCATTAGAATTAGCAAAATCGAAACATAATATCAAAAAATATAAATTAAAAAAAATTATTATTTTCTTAGATAAAATTTTTTTATCTGTAAAAACAATAAGAAAAAAATTGTGCCTTACTTATTAGAACCAATATAACTAAGTCTATTACTATGATTTTGACAACTTTAATTAAAATGTTTTGGTATTTTTTTCTTTAAAAAATACAAAATTGTCGGGAATTGACTAACAATAGTATATCTTGATTTGTGAATTCTGGCGGAATTCATGGTTTATTTTTCGACGTTCTCAAATCCAAGTCTTTCGGAAAGGAACATTTTGTGAGTCATTTTTAACCTTACTCCATATTCGACATCTAAATAATTATTAACTCTAAAGTGCCTACTCGAAAACATAAAGTGCACATGACACTCATTATATCAAAAGTTACCAAAAAATTTCTTTTTGGAACTCTCAAAAATTATTTAAAGAGCTCTTGAAATATATTTAGACTATCACAGCTGATGCTTGAAAATTGCTTGTTTATGTGAAATACAAAATAATTCTTGATTATATAAAATCTTCATTGTTTTCAAAAATTATGAAGGTGGAAACAATCGAAATGTTTTAAAAAATAAAAAAACGTCCTTTCTCGAGATTCGTCAGACCTTAAAGCAGGGAATAAAATACATGTGAAACAGAAAAGCTTACGTTAATAACGATAAAATTAAATAACAGTCGAAAGCAAAAACTTGCACAAAAAACCCGTGGCATTCGAAAGAGGTGAATCAGGGCAGAATACATTCCATGCATGAAAGCAAGATGAGCTGCCCGTGTAACAAATTTTGACATTAACGACATAAAATTAAGATCTGAGGCCAAACAATGTATGACAAATTCTTGATGACGGACATATATATCGCAGTGGGGTGCTCACTAATTTTGATCGCGCAAAACATGACAACGTTATATTCCTGTATAATTTTTTGGAGCAAATGAAGTCACTGTTGTAGTTTCTGGGGGTTATTTATTTAACAAAAAAAATGCTGCGGTTGACGCAGTTTTTTTAATTAACGCATCTACCAGGTACATAAATATGGCACACTACCATTAACCTAAATATCATATTGCAAAATATTTTCGAAAGAATCTAACGCAAGTAAAAAAAGTAACTCATTTGAAATAAAATAACTTTAACATCATCACCGAATTCAGTGGTTCATTGAGCAAAATGATTCCATTGCATTATCTAAATCACTGTCAAAGTTTATATTCGATCTCACTGAACCGGGTGTAGAGTAAGAGTAATAACCCAATCCTTTTAAGGCATTCTTGCAATTGTCTTGTATTTCAATCATTTTTTCAAACTTCATCTGTTGTCGCCAGGAAGTGGCAGTTATCGAAGAATTTCGGAATGTTGAATAAGGAACATCGAGGCCTTGTTTTCTGGATTTTTCTTTTATGTTGCCAATGAAAACTGTGTGGGTTTGTAAAAATTCTTCCATTTCACCAGGTATGTCAGAAAACCCAAGAAACTGTGTCATTCTATTTGAAATGGCTAAAGGATTCAGGCACAAATCTTCATAACGGATCACCATAAAATCGTTTGGTCTCTCATTTAACAACACACACGCGGTTTGCAAGTCTTCGTTCAAAGCAGAGCAAAATACTTTGTGATTCGAGCACATTGGATCATGTTTGCACCATGATGAGATTGGAAACTTCGTTCTAGAATTTAAAGTACCTCTTGGGTCTCTAGACAAATAGATAATCTTAAGATTGAGGTGTGGGTGTGTTGCAAATAGTTCTGCCGCTTCTTTAAGCTTGATTCGAATTGTTTTTGCGATGATCAATTTCTGATTCCTGCATAAAGAGTCCAAAAATGTTCCATTGTAACAGGAACGAAGTTTAGTGCACTCTTTCCAATATCTAAAACTGCGTTTCAGTTTCATATAATTGGAGTGACTCTTTTGCCATTTCATGAAGTCATGAACCTAAAATATTAAAAAAACCAGTTAAAAAACATTAGGTCATTAAATCTTTTTTTAACAAAAAGTAACGCTAGAAGAGAATTATAAAAAATTAAAACTGGACGTATCAAGAAATTAAAAGTGTTATTAAAAGGGAATGATTACTTCTTTAAATATTCTGGAACACAGAGTAAATGTTAAAGTATTTAATTTTCAAGATGAAAAAGTTTTTAAAAGAAAGCTCGGTTTTCTAATCATAACGTCTTTTAGATATCCAACAATCAACTGCACTTCTGTTCCCAATCCTTCTGATGATCTCATAACAAATTCATTGAATTCCTTCAACAGTCTCTGCTTGGATGAACGAATAATAAAGTTTTAAATCATTAACCATCGTAAAAATTCATATAAGTTTATTATTATTTATAAAAAAAATAAGCATCCGCTTTTTGTTTCTGAGATATACACAGTAGTAGTATGAACACCATCGGGTTCATATCATAGGGTGCTATCGATTGAATAAAGATAATTAAGGGTGATTTGAATAGCCTTCCATACTCGAAATTATTAAATTAATTTGTAACAGAGATGAGATTAAATTTCAACGTTCGACGACTACTATACATTCTGAACTACATTCGCATATGGACAATTTTAAACTCTCACTGGAATTCAATCATTTTTGCCTCTTGTGCTTCAACTTATTGAAATTGAACTTGTTAAACATTTTTGAGCCAAAAAATAACATGAATTTTTTTTCGCAAAACTTCAAAATAATTCAAAATATGCAATAATTTTTGCAAATATCTGAAATATATCACCCTGGAATTTAAAACAACTTTTTAATAAAAATAAAAGTCATATTGAATTTAAAGGAAACTTTCCAACTGAAACATATCAATTAGATTTTAGACACATATACTATTTTTAAACCTACTTATTTTTTTGATTTTCTATACATATATTTTTTTTAAATAATGCATTTATAAAATATTAACTATCGTTCAAGAAACTCTTGAAAATCCTTATTCGGAGGAATCATTTCCAAAAACTTGAAACACACTTTTGAATTAAGATCACCACTTCAGAACCATCAAAATGCCCAAGTATTTTTTTAATACATTACTTTTTGAGGTTTTTAAATCGAAGCAGAAATCTTCTAGACAACCTTTCTATGATATACTCAACAATAATTAGCGTATACTTGTTAATACTTACGAAGCATTGAAATATTCCACCAAATATTTTTTTTTAAATTAAGAGTAAATGTGTAAGCATTATTTTTCCAAAAAAAGACAGAGAAAAACATATCTTGTTGGTTTTATTTGCACACGTCTTTAATTTTAATTAATTTAATAAATAAAGCTTAGTGCTCACCCTGTTATTTGCGACATTCACACCAGAAAGAAAGCATTTTGTGGTAATCACAACGTCCTTTTTACCGATAAGTTTAAAATGTAAGCGAATTAGTTTTAATGCTAAAATCTACCTAATTATTTTACATATTCCGATGTAAACTTACTGATGTGACATTGCAGTTGTAGAGCCTATTCAAGAGTTCTCTAGCTTCTTCGTGACTACTGTTGAAAACAGGACTGCTCAGAAAATGCAAAGGTTCAAAATAGTAGAAACTGTTAGGCAGACTCTGCAGCAAATCTCCGACAAATGATGATCCAGTTCTTGCGTATGATATCAGCAGGACGTGCAGATCGTTGTTTTCTTTAGGATGTCTAAGGTTAGACAAAGCTGGGTGGAAGAGATTTTCAAATATGTTGTAATTTCATGAAGAAAAAAAAGGTATAATGATTTTAAGAATTGTATTATAATTTACCGATTGAAGTTAATTCGAAAAATTTTATGTCCTATATCATATACAGGCTAGCATTTAAGTTTAAAAAATGACTTTACACGGGATTTGAATAAGTTGTTTTAGAAATTGTACAATTACCAATAGCTTTTAAAGTATAATTTTAATTTTACTGATAGAAAAAGGGTGTCAAATAAAGCATGCACTCAAAAATTGCTTTCCAAAATAGTGAGGAAATTTTCCGCGTGTATTTTTGAACAAGAAAAGAATGAAACCAGCATTAAGTTTAAGATTCTTAGTTTAAAATCCAAAATAGATTTTTAAAAGTAGGAAGTATAAAAAATACTGTAAGTTATTTTTTTTTCTTATGATTTTCTCGCTGAATAGAATGAGATTGGACTGAGTAAAAAAGTTTGTAAGTTTTCATAAAAAATTTTAGTTTCTTGCTTCTAACTACTTTCATGTCTTGCATCGCTATAAAAATAAGGAAGTTTTCTTTACGTGTAATTGAATGAAACAAAACCAAGTCCATGGAACGTATAGTTCAGAAGTTTAAAAAATTAGAAATGTATAATGGTACAAAAACTACATTTCTTGAAAGTCTGACAATTCCATACAAGTGAGACATTTGTTTCATGTATTTTTTCCATCTAAATTCATTAAATTACAAATGAGTCTATGTAGCTAATTGTTTCGAAGTCATAAGTGTTTTATGCGTAAAAAGGAAATATATAATTTCAATGCTAGAAACTCTCGTAATTTCCAAGCCATCAGACCAATCAGCTTTTATTTTGGCTCTATTCAATTCATTATAAAAAAACAAACACAAAAAATCCATTATTTCTCTTGTCAATATAGCAGTATCAGACATTTAGGTGAGTATAAGTACAAAGCTATAATTTTTATAAATAATGAAATTAGTAACTTTTGAATTATTTCGATTGCTTTTGTTTTAATCTTCTTCAATTCAGAGTAAAATAAATACCTAGTTATATTATTTGAATTGTTTAGATAAAAATTTTCGTAGTCTAAATAGGTTGTACAATCGAAAATAGTAACTTTTGATAATTCTTACTCATAAAACCCCTTTAAAACTTAAGAACTATTAGTCAAAGTTTAAATCCCTCTTCCATTTTTACCCCTCTTCCATTCGATAAATTCAAGATTGCAAATAAAGCTCACCTGGGGTTATCATCTGGTATCCGTAATGGACATCACAAATCACAACTTTTAAAACTATTTCAAGATTTCTTATAATTATCTCCATATTGAATAACTAAGGAGCTGAACTATTAATTCAAAAAGTAAATATTATATTTCAAGAATGTTTTATCCTAATACCATCACTTTTAACATTCCAATGATAATTCTTAAAAATGCTGCTTTTTGTTTTCAAAAATGCGAAACATTTTTAACATATTGTTCCGATAATACTATAATTTAGTTTACCTATGATGAATATCTGAAAATGATGTATAGTCTAAATAGTCATGCTTAGAATTATTTAAAATTCCGTTATATTCTCTCATTCTGTGTTATGGTTTGAAAATTCAATGTTCAATTCCTGGTGTAACAGGACTATAGTGCAATATGATGGGTGATTTAAAGGTTTTTCACTCATTACTGAAATGCATTAATATGCTGTCTAAAAACTGGATTGCATTACAATTTAAAAAGTTTCTCAATGCTATCATGAGAATAAAGTTGAATAAATGAAAATAAAGGAGTTTTGGTTTTTTTTTAAATTTGCTATCTCAAGGTATTTCAAAATCCTCTCCTCTGTTATGAGTTTCCTTTTTTAGCTATTTCAAAACGGAAATTTCGCAAATAAAATTATTTTTGATGATGTCCTCATTATAACAAATAAAATGTGTAATTTTTATTTATTAATGCATTTAATACTTTTTTATTTCCATTCTATTATAAGGTTCATTATAAAAGGTTCCACATGATTCAATTGTTTTATTCCTTGTAAATAAAATTTTAAATACGAAAAGCCTTTTCTTGTCACGAGGAAGCTTTGGTAAAGAAAAGAAGCCTTAAATGAAAGGTTAAAATGTTCTGTTTTTCTCTTTTAATTATGTTTAATATTTTAATAATTTAGAGCTGCATTTTATGTTTTAGAGTTTTATCAACTTATATTGGCCAGAAATAAGTTTTTTGATTCTTTTGTTTTCTTTATTCAAGTAATTCGCACTTTTTTATGACAGCAAAAACGATTCTATTAGAACAAATGTTTCCAACAAAATCATGATTAAAACTCTTCTAAAGAAAACGATAAAAAATGAGGGTAACTTAAGATTGTTTGGATGACTTTCTTTAAGAGTTTTTAAGTTGTATTTTCAAGTATTTCGAACTATCCAATGTACAATGAAAGACATGCGTTTAAATGTTTACATTTCACCTATCACGTTGCATTACAATAGGTATTTCTTAAATGAACAGTTTTAAAACAAAATTTAAATAAGATTGAATGTTATGAATGCCGCAAAAATCTGTTTCAAATTGATTTGCAAAAAGGAAAGAAAAAAACTGTGTTTGCTAGAGTTCAAAAATTATTTGTTATATATTATTCAAAGAAAGAAAAAGCAGAAAAAAAAATCGTGCAGAACAAAGAGATACGTTTCTTTTCAATTTAGTTGTTTTGTAAACAAACTTCAATGTTAGTTTAACATTGTGTGCTTGTTTACAAGGTATTAGACGCATGACTTTGAAAGTTATAAGTATTGTTAATTTAAAAAGAAAAAACTATGTTATTCGTTTAGTGCCATTTCATCATTAATATTGCACGAACGAAGCCGGTTTTTGTCCTTGTTACTGGTTGTCATGACAATCATTGTAAACTCTAACGGAAATGTTACTTTTTTGGAAGACGGAATGAAAAAAAATAGATTTAGCCATAAGAAATGTAAAAAAATACTATTTTAGGAATTAAACTATTGTTTTTCCATTTTCAGAAAAAAAATTTCGTAGGTTTTGGGAAATTTAGCTACTTCTCTGATATTAAGAACTGTAGCACTCTTTCCCAGAAACTTCGCGTGTTTGGTCAATTATAGAATACTACTGAAATCAATTAAATTAGTAAAAAAATGTATCTGTTCAAAAAATTGGAAACAGAGTTTTTTCTCAATTGAAATGCAACTATGTTTCGTTTTGTTTCTCGAATTGTAAACAAAGTGGTCACTCTTTTATAATGTATTTTTTAGTTTTAAACATTCAAAATTTAAATTTTGCTTCCCTTGGAAATTTATTTCAGGAGGTGGGCATTCATTTTTTAATATCCTAAAATTATTAAAGAAATAATTTGTGGAAAATCATAGTCAAGATAATTTAACAAATAAAATGATCATTCATGGTAATTTTACTTTTGATTTACAGTTATCGTCGATATTTTTGTCAAGCCAAAATGTTGATTAGGCATGAAATTACTTTAATCTGATTATAAAGTAATATAAATTCATATTTCTTCTACTTCTCATATCTAAGTATTATTTAAATGTAATTTAAACAATACATTGGAAATACTATGAATTTAAAAACTATACCCATGAGTTTACCTATGAATTTGGAAATTAAAATGAGCATCGGAAATCATTCCGAATCATTTTATTTTAACTATATTTCCACGCATGGATATTTACGACCTATACTAACTACATGAGGTGCTAAAGTTTTCTAACTTTGATTGAATAACTTAAAGAGGAGTAAAAATACTGTAAGTTAGTGTTCGATATGGCAGTAAGATTGAGATTCACTTACTTTGAAGTGTATTTTTGATGAAGTAAGTGTTTCCAACGAGGGCATAAAATTGTAAAAAGGCGATTATCAAAGCAAAGAGGACACAGGGAAAGTAACGACGCCAACGATGATGCTGTCCTAAAACGTTGTGAGTGATGTGACGTCTTAAATCAAGACTCATCTTAGGTCAGCTCTCATCATCTTTCTGTGAAAATAAGCAAATTAACATTTATTCACACAGTAAAAAAGTTTCATCATTGTATCCCGATTTCCTCCTCCAAAATCTAATTTTTCCTTCAATTTTCTCAAGTTCTGAAATGTTTGAAAATCTAGTTTGTCCAAAGTTTAGAAATTCCAATTTGTTCGGAAGATATTGCAATATTAAATGCTTTTTGCGATTTTTTTTTTCAGACTTTAAGTTACGTTTTGTTTTGGGATTGAGAAGATGAGCAGAAAATGTCTAGACAGTAGGAATGAATGAAAAAAATTAAAGATTTGAAATTTAATTCAAAAATTATTAGCTATTAAAATTGTAAGTACAAAATAACATGAAGAGCCATTTATAGCTTGATAAAATGCAAGTAGAAAGCTACAATTTGAAATGCTGAAAGGGTCCTTTTTATGCATGAACTAAATGCAAGCTTTGTTTTCTTTTGAAATAAATGCACGAACGTTATCCTATTTTCAAGTGCTTTTTTTGAAATCTTTAATTTTTTTTCCAAGTAAAATTTATCAATTTTGAAGTGTCTGTAATCTTTCATTTCGTTACGGTTAACATGTTGTAGCATTAAATTATAATAATACTATATTTTATAAGCAAAATGATTTTTTTTCCTTTGAAAAATGCTGACTTTAATAAAAAAAGATGGTGAATGAGATACAACCACAGGGTTTGGTGTGGTAAGCGAGGGGATGGTGAATCCTCCGAATAATTATAAATTTTCGTTAGTAACGCTATATGAAAGAGCTTGTTTTCAGCTAATTTCAGCAATATTTTTTTAATTTGAATAGGGCTTAGAAAGGGTGTTTTGTAAAGTGCACACAAATCTTCATTTGAAAATATAGCTATAAGAAACCATTTTGATTTGCATGCATACTGAGGATTCAATACAGAAATTGTCTTCTAAACTCTTGTAAAATTTAATAACAGATATTTTCAATCAAAATAAAAAGAACTAAAGATGAAATAAACAGTTTTCATTCGATTTACCTGCAGGTTCAGGAGTACAAATTATGCTAGCATCTAAATAAAATATTATGGCAAAAACGCTTAAAATTAAGTGAAAATTGCATGGTGACCCAGAACTTTTTCTTATAATTAATGTAAACATTTTCTTTAAGGGAACTTCGGAGCATCTCTGGAGTAGTAGAATTGAGAAAGCTTACATCGTAGTCATAAGATGATTTTCATATAAGAATATTTAAGAAAAAAATTTTTCTTGTTTATTTTAATGTGAACATCAGCACAGTATACAAACCTTCAATGAGTCTATTTTTTGATCATAATAAATGTATTATATTATAAAACAAAAGTAATTTAAATTAAATAAAAAAAGCATATCTTAGGAATTATTTGACTTTTTTTATTATATACATATTAGTGAACATATATGTTATTTTGATAATATTTTCATAAATCATATTTTGTAAGAAACATATTAGCTTTCATGGTACATGCAAAGGGTAATTTATTTGCAAGTGCAAATGTAAGATAGTATGAGATGATAGGTGTCCATGTTAGAGTGCCCAAATCAGCACTCAACACAAATGGTAGCAATGATTTACTTCAAACTCAATAAACGACATAAGAAAATTCAAATGGAAGAGGTGGAAAAGGATCAAAAATCTTTCAGTTTGCACTCTCTAGATATGATGCATTTCTCTCAAGCAATGATGCGCTAAGAAATGTTATGAGACGATCAATTAAGCAGTAGATAAAAATTTCAAAATTTAAATAACATAAAATCATTATTATGCCTGCAAAATTTTCAAAAATATTTCAAATTGCACTCTTTAGATATGATGCATTTCCCTCAAACAACGATGAGTTGATGTCAAGATGATTAATGATGTCAAGAGACGATCAATTAATCAGTAAATGAAAAATTTATAATGATTGACACATTAAAAATTTTTTAAAGGTGTAAGTTGATATAGAGTTATTCTTTTCCCTCTCATTGCTCATAATACATCGATATTTCATGATTAGCGAATGCCCCACTTAATAACCGGTGTATAGATTAATATTCGGTTTTTGCAGCATTTCGGGGGTTTGAAAAGTCATAACTTATGGACCGGGACACACGTAATAAGTTTCATTTTTCTTTGATGTTCTATTCTTTACTATTGTTTATCGGAAACCGTTTCCTTCCTTCCTCTTAATTTTATCATATCTCCCTAATCAAAAGGCAACTGCTATTATATCGTTCGTTTACCATCCCTCTAAATGTTCTTCTAACAGTCCTCAACTAAAAGCTATTACAACAGACCGTAGATTTCCTTCGAATATTATTGATTCTATCAATATAAAATTACTATCGCTTTCCAGTAAACTCTTTTATTCGAATTTTGCTAGAATGGTGTGTTCAAAATCAGGACAATTTTCTATCACACAACTGAAATTTATTTGCTTCTGCTGAAACTCTTTAGCCACTGACATTGCCCTTGCTCTTGCTGTTCTACTAATAAGTTAATGATTTTTTAGAATGTTTTAAAATCGATTAATTTTTATCTTCTGTTTTCTTCCCATCAGTCAAGCCATGTTTTGTCCCTGGTTGCAATCTATTTTCTTCAATCACAGATGAACTACGGCCAAAACTATGGCTGTTATTGTTGCATTCTTTGTACTTCATTGACACTGTTTTATTTCATTTACATAAAGCACAAAGTATACCCATTTTCTCACTCATATTTTAAAATATAGTTGATTCTTCTTAAATAAATTTAATAACGGGTTGCAGCATATTCTCATTAAAATAAAATGAACATAATAATATTCGATAAACTATAAATTGATACTAATTCAGTGGACTCAATGTGATATGCCAAGTAATTTTTATTGCTTAATCACTTCCTTTATTTAGAAAGATATTATGTAGCTCAAACCTCTTCTTAGAAAGAAGCAAAACTTTGAAATTCTTATAATGAAGAATAATTTAATAGATATTGTTGTTTTCTAATTAACATCCTTTACTTTCTTTAAAAAAAATAAAATCTACTAACCTGTCCTGCAACGATAAAATACCGGTGTAGCACAATGGATTTTCTCAGTTTAATGTGTGAGAATTATTTGTCTGAAATTAATTGCCTCCAGACGCAAAATAGTTCTGTGTGATCGAATACTTTGACATCAGAGGTACTACTCAGCAGAAAATATGTGTATTTGTTTTATCTGTTTTTATTAAAAACAGTGTCCCAAGAACTCAAAATATATATATATACATTTAAGCAACGTCACACATTTTTTTTTTCTAACCAACTCCTAGTATTACATGGATAAGACTCAGCTGGTCACGCTGCGGTTGCTAAGAAACCATGCTGATAGGTATTTTCATTGATTTGACCGAGAAACTACGATCCACAAAACACACCCAATCCATTTTGAAATATTGTACCAAAATAGGATAACTGTTTACATTTATAAGAACATTTGTTTCAGGAACCTAATTTTTTAAACATTGATTTCCTATTTTACATATTCCAGCACATTTCTAATAATGGCAATGACAATATCTAACAGATAAAAACAAATGGATAAAAGAAAACATTCATTAAATTATTGATTTTTTTATTCACTGTACAGTGCCTTTTTTTTGTTAATACTTCATCCTAAATAAAAGCAATAGAGTAGTTTATATCGAATAAAGTTTCTTAACAAGATTCCATAATTGAACTTCTCAAACATGCAAAGTACTCATGGATAAAATATCAAAATTTAGGTAAGATAATCAGACTTAATGCTACTGCTGGAGTCCCATCTAATTTCCTTTACCATTTAAATAAAAGTAAAGAAATATTTAACCATTTGGAGAAATAAAACACTTTTAAGCATTTCTAATTAGTCTCTTTTAGTATTTTTCATGGTTGATATATGATGACACGCACACATACATACAGTGGTTGAACAAATCTATTTATTATACTGAATCCTTTTTTTTCATAAATCTCAAGAAATACTTAGAAAATTATTTCAAAAACTTTAGAAGTATTTTGTGTGATTTCTCATACATATCAATAAAGTTTAAAGCTTTTAGAAGTTTGAGGGACAAGCAATAAATTGTGAATGAGAAAGTATGTTTTTGACCACCTTATGCCAAAAAATAGAGCGACAAGTTGGTTAATTTTCTTTTTCAGTGTCTACCTGGATAATGACCTAGGTTATACAGGTATCTAAAGGGCAGATTTGTTGACCACTCTTTCAGGGGCAACGTTGCTCCCACAGTAAGGACAGATTGTACAGAGAAGGAAAGAACATCTATGCCTTGCCCGGGATTCGAACCCAGAACCTTTCTGATGCAAGGGCAGTTCCCTAACCCCTACACAGGCCGATCACCATTTTTGATTATTATATGTGCAAAAGCTGCACAAAATATCGCAAACATACTTATGGATGGACATTTCTATAAAATAAAATAAAAACAATTTCTTTTTATCTTACGTTTTTTTTTTTTTTTTTTTTTTTTTTTTTTTTTTTTTTTTTTTTTTTACTATAACTTTATAAATATTCAGCAAAATTTTAAAAAAAGACTTTAACTCAAATTTTTTTAAAATCTGATTCACTATTTAACCGATTTCAGTCAAATTTTATATTTCGCCATGCAAAATTACGTACTTGATGAAGTAAAATGATGTAAAAAATTTATACTTTGCAATTCAAAATTTTTTCGACTATTATTAAATAAAATAATAAATATTTACTAAAATTCACTTTCGCATTAAATTATCTTTGCATTACATAATAATGTGTAAAATTTTTCATTTCGCTTTAAAAGTGCTCGAGATATGGTGAAGTACATAAAAAATAAAATTAACGTTATGGGGTCCAAGCTTAAGATGATCAAACTGTGGGAACCATATTTCTCAGATTGCTGCAACCCCTATATTTTGGGCTCAAAAATCCAAATGCGTCGAAAAAAATGTCTTTTTATTCAGCGAAAGTACACTTTTGTGTCTGATTTCATAATTTAAAATATCGACTGCACTAATTAATTAGCATATTTGAGGTGAACCTCTCAAATCATTAAGTTTGATCCGATCAACTTAATGATTTGAGATCAACAGTTAATCAGGGTAGTTTATTTATTTATTTATTTGACACACTGTATAGTATTTCAAAATGAAACTAAAATTTTTTGGGTTACTTTTGTATTGCTAAAAGATAAAAAATTTAAAAGAGAACTTCAGCTTGATACTAATTGCACGGATTTTAAGTTTAATAATTTGTATGAAATGTTCATAACACAGTTCAATAAATCATAAAACAGATGTACATTTTTTAATAAACCCTCGATATTTTTTTCGGATAAATATTTTTACAAATATTTTAGCTAATACAATTATAGGATTAGGTTTGTTAATTAGTATTTTGCATATTTTCAGATATTTCTAGTTTTTTTTTCTTCTTTCTTTCTAAATTCAGCATATCGTTCGAAATTACAAGATTTTTTTTTAACTTTTTCAAGTTAAAAAATTAAATAAGAAGATAAGCATTATTAAGCAAAGGATTTCGCAAGGAATTTTCAGGATGCATTATGATATTTAGACCTTTTCAATCGGTTACCAACTTTTGCAATGAATGTTAGAAAAAAAAACTAAAGAAATCTTCCTCTCCCCCACTTATCTAGAATGAGCGAATCGGCAGGAATTTATTTGCAATTTTTATTAGCTTTTTTGACTTAAAATCATATTTTCTTACCAAAAAGAAGAAGAAGAATGGGAATGCTGTTTTGTGTGAAAAACCACTATTATTATTAAAATTGTTTGTTATTTTGATTTTATTGCTTACTATGCCTCCATGGTCTCAGTTGTTCTTAAGATAATTTGCTAAACTAAAATGTTTAATTAACGTAAGTATTAAGTAAACTACGTTAACCTGATTCTATGGTCTTTTTAAAACATCATAAAAGCACCAAATTACTTATTTCATTAAAATAGATGTTAGTTTCATTTAATTAATTAGCGTATAATTTATATAAAATATATCAGGGATTATGCTACTAATTCTCGCATAGTCTAGCTTAAATCTATTTCTCTTTCAAGCTTAAAGTTTCTTTAACAATAAATGATCTTAAGTCCAAACACCATGGTTTAAATATCATGTCATATTACAGTTTCTCAACCCGTATTTCCTATATCATGCCTGATCGTCTCACACATAAACCTCCAAAACCTTATGCTTTTTTTTAATTTTTTTTCTTTTTTGAATTATATCATTTTATATGTGAAAGATTCCCTTTGAGTTCCTTATTGTTTAGATTATATTCTTCTTCTTTATATTATATTATTCTTTTTCATATTATATTATTCTTTTTTATATTATATTATTCTTTTTTACATTACATTATTCTTTTTTATATTATATTATTCTTTTTTATATTATATTATTCTTTTTCATATTATATTATTCTTTTTTATATGATATTATTCTTTTTTATATTATATTATTTTTTTTATATTATATTATTTTTTTATATTTGATCATATTAGAATCTATAATCTTCATGTATCCTTTTTTCTAAATAAAGTCCGAATTCAGCATTTATTTATTTCTAATTTTGACAATTTAAGTAACTTTGCAATTGTATACTGGTTTCTACATAAAATTTAAAATTGTTACCCGGAACGAATGCGAATTACATAATGACACTTATTGAATTAGGGTGATAAGATAAAGTGCAAGAAGTAAAGGAACCTAAGTAATCAGTGCTAGCAGCATTTAGAGATTAGCCGAGACCATCACTCGGACACCATTGAGTGCAAGTTTTTAAGTCTTCAAATAATAATTAAAATAGTGCAAGAATATTTTAAAGTCTGGTTTTAAAACATTACATGCTTTGAACTAATTTTTCCTGCATAAGAAACGCGTCATTTTTATGAACACATTATACTTTTAAACATAAAAAACTTTATTCCGTAAAGTGCAAACATTTTGGAATATTTTTCTACCTTCAAACTTTCAAATTTATTTTTGATCAAACTAAAACACAAAAACAACCCTATTCAGGTTATGAATTGCGTCACAACAAGAGTTTTATTTTGAGCAAATTTTCAGTGATGAGTTAATTAGAATCATGATAAGTTAATGTATATTACAATATGATAAGTTAATGTATATTACAATATGATAAGTTAATGTATATTTACTATCGAAAGTATAATGTAGAGACTGTTTATAATTAATCAAAAAGAAATAACCACATTTAAAATCTTGAATGATGCTTTACTTAAACAAAGGTAATAAAAAAAGATGAGTTTATAAACACGTCAAAAACTACGCAAGAAAACTATCCAAATCCATATTTTGTTGCTAAAAACAATAATACTTTTCTAGAAAAAAGTGGGGTGAATGAGGAATTGAGTAATGAAATCTTTCAATATTTACATTTCTGATTTCTTAGTTAACTGAATAAAGAGCTTGAATGACATTTGTATTAGAAATTAAAAGAAAAAAGAAATCATTTTAAACGGTTTAGTAAAGTTCGATTTTAAAACTTTGTTGAAGTTTCATAAACATAAGAGACTAAATGATAAGAGTATTTGTAGAATAATAATTTTAAGAAAAAAATTGTACTTTTAAAATGTTAAATACTATATTGAACGCCGATTAAGAATTAAACTCGAAAACAAATCACAGTGATTTTATTTAATAAATACCTCTAATAAAATAAATAGATTATTAAGTTAATTCTGTGCGTTCGTGAAATGTTTAAAATATATAGATGATATTATTGTTAAATTTTACTTCTTTCTCCCAAAAAAACTAAAATATTATTATTCAATTTCTCAATTTTGATAACTTTATTAATCACGCTTTGACAACAGTATTCTTTTTTTTTTAAAAAAAAGCACTTACATTTTAAATTTAACTGAAATTCAATCACAATATTCTAATATCTTCATTAAGATGTCTTTCAGTCAAATATTTGAATTTTCTAAAAGTAAATCCCAGCCATAAAACAAAAAGGAATTTGTACTTTTTTTTAAATGTGCTTCGAAGAAACATCGTAAATATTTCTCACGTCATGAATTCCGTTCGTGAAGAATTTCTTGTGAAAATATATAAAGCTGAATTTGCAACAAAAAAAAGAAAAAATATTATACAACTTCACTTGGCCATTTCTCAACAAGACAATGTTCGGTGAAACACAGAAAGGGCGTCACGGAATGCCACATTACTATCTATTCCTAGCCTGCTTATTCCCCAGATTTGTCATCGAACGAGCTTTTGTGGAACCACTTGGGACGGACAGTCTCCGAGCTATTTCGATTTAGCAGAATTTTCACAGCGACTGTAGAATGATAGGTCGGTGGACATAATAAGCGACTCGTATGCTGCAGTTGCGCTAAAGATGTCCCAAGAAAACACTAAAACCTCCATTAGTTTGTCTTGCAATAAATTATTACTTTGCTTTAAATTTTTAATCACTTACTGATATCAAGGTTGAACTTACGTATGCAAATTTCGTTTCATTCTGGCAGCTCTTTAAACATGAGCTAATTTTTATGGCAATGAGTGTATTTGGTTTAACTTATTTGCTGTATTTTTTTTAATAAATCTTAATTAATTTTTTTTAAGAAAAATGCAATCGTGATAAAATAGTTCATGAAAAGAAAAATATCTTTATACTGAAAATTATTATATATGATGAAAAAATGTGAAATGGGTATGAAATCTTTCATGTAGAAAAGTGAAATTTAATTTTTCTCTTATTGATATTAAAAGAAGGTAAGCATTTATTAAAAATGAAAAATTTAATTTAAAGTAATTTAGAAATTGTTGTTGGGAGTGAATTATTAAGTAAAACGGTCTTTCTCTTTTTTTTGTTACACCAAATTTGAAACTAATAAAATAAGTAAACCTTTTCAAAAAAAAAATTTAAAAAATTTGTGAAAAAAATGCATAATTAAAAAAATAACTTTATATCACAATTTTTACTGACAATATTCTAATTAAAGTAATAATTATGACCCATTAATTAGCTTGCTGCATTTCCTTTTCGAAAATATTAATTGGTTTTTTATTTTAAAACTATACTTTGTAGTTAATTCAATGATTCATTTATGAATTTGTTTATTTTTATCTTTTTTTAAAAAAGTAAGAGCAAAAGCTAAATGTATTAACACTACAATGTTCCAAAGGTAAAATACCTTTTTCTTATTAAAAAAGACTTTTTTTTCGTTCTCCCTTACATAGTAATATTCTTTACTTCGTTATTTTATCCTTAACTCCCAGTTTACAGTATTTACAATGAAATTTGACAAAAAATGATTTAATTTAATATTTTATTTTTTGAATAAACTATATTTTGAAAAATAATTTACTTTAACTTTTTATTCTTTTGTCAAATCTGAATTTCTGATAAGTTTTTAATAAATGCAACAATAATAATAAAGTTTGAAAATTATTATCAACCTATATAATTTTTCGAAAACAAATTTATTTAGTTTGAGCAACAAATAAAGCAAATCCTAAATTAAAGTAAAACTTACCCTATGCATGCTTTCTAAATGCCATAATATATAACAAATAATCATCTTTGTAACATTTTAACAGGATGTTCTTATAGTGGCGCCCGTAGACATCGAAGCCAAGAACTCTTTTCCTCGTGTCTGCTGAGCGGATAAAACACGCGGTAAATGAAAGTTTCTTGAATCGTCGCCAAAGCAGATCTCGCCAAACAATGGGATTCCATCCAAATATACGAGACTGTTTGAACTCCTCTGATTCGTATGACGGTATTGTTACCTCATTAAAATTGCATACATGTGTCAGACTGGTATATTTTTAAACTCGAAATATAATTAAAAAAATTATTTTTAAAAAAACAAACAAATTTAGTTTAAATTATTTACTTAAAAGAAAGGAGTGTTATTTTTTGTTTACAAAGTTTGCATTTCAATAAACTTTTAAAATGATAATGAAGGGATAAAGAATATTTCCAGCAATACTAAACACTTGATAAATAATTTTAAAACAAATACTTTTAGTGATGTAAAATCTGAATTAAAATAATGAATAAAGAGCGATATCGTGTACAACAAATGAAATAAAAGCATGACTGAATGTACAATGCACGAATTCAAAAAGAAAAAAACACAACACCTGCATAACCTTTGTTCTAAAGACCGTTTTAACATGGAATATCTCAATCGATTTGATCTGATTTAAACATGATAGTTAACATAATCAGCCGATATTTTAAGTAATTAATTCAGACACAAAAGCGATTCTTGATTCTCAACATAAGGTTGGTTCTAAAAATAAGTTCCATCTAAAAATTATGGTTATAATAGTTCAGTCAGGTCCTCTCCATGTTAATTTTCCTGTATTATAAAAATATGTGTATAGAGGTATTAAATCGAAACAAAATAATTTTGCACACAATTATTAAATATTTTTCAAAAAATAATTTAATGCGTATTAAAATAAATTTAAAAAAAAAAACATTAAATTTTCAGAGGAAGTTATTTTCAGCCATTTGAAACTGTGTGTTATTAACCAAAGACTTGAATAATTCTTTTGATATGATATGTAATGAAAATAAAAAAACAATTACAAAACACTTGAAATCAGTTTAATGGAATTACAAATGTAGTTATAATTAGAAATAAAACGTGACTATCTGATTGAACAAAACAACTTCAATTTAATTACCAATCTGAAATGCATATAGTTGTGATTAGAAAAGTATGTTAAGATTTTCAGGTTTATTGCACACATTATTTCTGCAAAAAAATTATGAAATAACATTTTCGTGAAGCTTTCCTTGTAAACATAAGTCTAACAGCAAACATAAGCGAAAATATTTAAAGTATGAACATAAATATTGAAAAAATCGTCATCAAATGTTTCATTTGAAAATAAATGTAATAACAGTTCAAAAGAATGTAATCGATTACAAGTAATAAATTACTTTTCAATATTGTTTTAAAATTAGGATTTAATTTTCAAAATCAGGCAGAGTTTGGATGTTGACGGTTTTTTGCATGTTTTTTTTCAGGACATTAATCAGTGTCATTTTTTTTAGTAATTTTTTAAATTTTTAGATTAGTTTCCTTTTTTAAATTTTTTTCAAATAATTTTATATGAATATTCAAAGATAATTTTCATTTCAAGCACATTTTTCTTATGAATTATATTTTTATCTCTTAATTAACATAAAATTTGCATTAATTTTTGTTATTCTAAGTAGCCATTAATAACAAGCGTTATTGTTAAACAGAGCTTTTCACTATATAAATAAATTCTCTTTAAAACAATGGGCAATCCTTAAATTTAATGAAATGTTTCTTAAAAAAATTGATAACATAATGAAATTTAGATGTTCTTGGAGATTTTGTTTAAAAATTGTTAAATTTTTAAATCTCTAGATAAGATATTTGTTAACAGTTTATTGTTATCGTATTTTTTGTTACTAAATTTTTAAATGCTACTTATGATTTATATTTTTTTCTCATAGAAAAGGTAATATGAAACATGTCTTCGAGAAATTTTAAGGACATTGCTTTTCAGTTTAATGCCACTTATGATGATTTTTAGGGAGATAGATTTTTTTTTAATTTTTAAGGGCATTTTTAAAGATATTTAGATAATCAAAATCTTAATCTAGATAAATAATCATAATTCTGATTTTAATCGTAATCATTATTACAGGTAATCATACTGATCACATGCAAATAAGTAATCATACATGTAATCATCTGTTTCAATTACATTGATTATTTATCATTAAAAATTTAAGATGGATTTATGTTTTACTTACCATCAATATAGCATAGCATGAATGTCGTCCGATAAACCTTCCGAGTACTCTAAGAAACCTTATTGTTTTAAATTGCAGTGACAAATTATCTTGCTTGTAATCATGCTTATTTGATTCCTTGTTATCATAAATCATGCGTATTCTTAGTCGTAGGTCACGATTACCTCTCATCAAAATGACGAGTAATTGATTTGACTGCAATTTCCTTTGGAATTTTGCACACATTATTTCATATCTATCTTCTATCTTCTATCTATATATCTTCTCTTATCGCCCATACAGCACTCCTTCTTAGCTTATATTCTTAACTATAAGTTGTCACTTGTTTTGAATAAAGCGATCAAGCTGAATAAATTTGCATTTTCCATATAAATTCATCACTTGGCAAAATAGTTTGTATGATATTTCTTTCCATGAAATTCCCTCTAAACTTTTCAGTGTTAGTGATTAGTGAGAATATTTACCTTAAACAAAGTTTCACATATTTTTTCACCGAATTACACTTTTAAATTGAGAAATAAATGTATTTGCATTATAAAAAATTTTAAAAATAAAGTATTTTTAACTGATATTTTTAATTTAAAATTACTATACTAATTAACTAAAATTACTAAATTTACTATATTACTACAAGATTCATCAGCTAAGATGATGGCTTCGTTTTCATCAGTGTTTCTCTTTAAAGCATCATATTTTTCACGAAAAAATAAAATTAACATTTGTAAGTATAATTATTAGATACAGTGGTGGCCCAAAGTGTGGACATTTTTTTAAAGTTTCATGTTTTTCAACTTTGTGTGCTTGTAGAATATATTAATTTTCACTTAAATTGACTATTAAATTGCTTAGTTTATATATTAAATTAAAGATAATTTAATGTAGAATTTAATAACAAAAACAGAATTAAAATATCTGTATTACAAAAAAAGTTATGCCTATTTTAGTAGAACAAACAAACACAAATCGTTTTGAATAAGGACGTGTTTTGTAATAAAAGCGTACTAGCCAATCACAAACACTGTTCTTAGGACCAATCAAATGTCTGTCACTATAGTTTAGGTTATTTGGATGGTAAAAGAGTTATTGTTGTGGAAATATTTTGCGGAATGATGCATACTAGTACAATTAAACAGAGTTTTGCTGTTTTTGAATATTTAAGGTCCTTTTTTTAATTAAACTAATTTTAAACAATGTCATCAACAAGAAGAACTAATTGGACATCTACAAAAAGAAGCCGGATTGTCATATTGAGAGAAAAT